GCATAGAATTCAACATAAAACTGGCACTTATTAAACCGCTCACCCGGTCGGTTCCCGGTTCGACTGGCCGGTTCGAACCGGTTTTTAAAACCTTTCCTAGCACGCCTCTACAGTTGAAATTCTTTATCGAGTTCATCTGGGGCGTGACTTTTAATCATTCAACATCTGTTTGATCATATTTGTGTTCTTTACTTACCTGTTACTATCTAATCGATCTTTTAGGTTTTTAATCCCAACAATTGGTATCAGAGCAGGAGATTGTGTAATCTATACGCATCACTTATTTTTGTTGAGCTACTAGGGTTTCCACTGAAATAGGATCTTGTTTAGTCGTCTTTATTGGTTTTCTGACGACTTACTATGATCTTTATATTACTCTATTATTTGTTTAGTTTGCACATCTGATTCGTAACAGGTTACAAAGATCTCGATAAAATGCAACACGACGACTCAAGTATTAACTCCTTGAATATCTCAAGCAGTATTGGATCAACTACAAGGATCCCAATACTCTTCCCTCATGAGTATGAAGTTTGGGTGCTCCATTTTGAAGACTACATTCTTGTTTCAGAAGATAATGGTTATCTAATATGGGAAGCCATTAATCTAGGCCCTTTTGTTCACACAGAGACCAAAAGAACAATCAAAACTCAAAAAGAATGCAACCAACTACTTCTTTATGTGAAAGATGTGCCTCAAGATGAGAAAGAGAAACTTATTAGAAACATTAAAGCGATGAGGATCATCAGATTGCTTTGAAGGCATACACGTTTTGTTTGGTTAGTTCATGTGATACTGCGAAAGCCATCTGGGAAAAGCTCAAGGAATATTACTCCACTGATGCAAATCTTCAGCATTCGACTCAAACACTTTTGTCTTCGGAGTTTTGGGCTTTTGCACAAAAGCCAGGAGAAAATCTCAATCAGACTTTCAATCGCTACAACCATCTTCTCAGCAGGATGACCAAACATGCTATTGGACGAGAAGTGATAGAGCAAAAGGTTACCTTCATGAATGGACTTAGGTATGAATGGATGGAAATTGTTTCTACATTCAAGGCACACGAGCAGTTTAAAAGTTACTCTTTGGCTAAGTTGGTTGGAATTCTTAAGTCACATGAAAGTGAAGTGTTGAAGGAAGCGAAAGTTGTTTCTGCTATGGAGTCTCTAGCTCTTGTTGCGAAAGGAAAGACCGTGGTAGAAGATGAATCTGAATATGATAACTCTGAATGTGATCTTACAAATAAGGAATATGCCTTGATGATTTCGAATCCCAGCCGGTTCGCAATGAAGAAATTTCCTTTGAACAAAATTTGAAATTAGCAAGGAAGTTATAGCTCGGACAAGGTGAAGGAAGAAAGTAAAAATGTTTCTCAAAAGGAAGAAGAGAAAATGAGAAAAAGGTCGTTGGTGACTCTAGCTATGATTGCAACTATTGTCATGACAAAAACCATCTGGCGAAGGATTACATGCTGAGGAAGTTGAATGAGAGAAAAGAAGGAGAAGATGATGAGATGTACCACTTGAGAAAGTTAGAGGAAATCAAGAAGAAGAAAACTATTGATAACTTTATGCCTGTTTTGATTGTGCAGGAAAATGTTGTTGAAGATGAGTTTGGAGGAGTCGAACTATTGTCAACAAACTCAGAGGATGATGAGGTTCGCAAGCCCACACATGGAAGGGGATTCGTTGCGAAGGAAGAGAGTTCTCAGTTCGCCATCAGGTGTTTGATGGTGACAAATGAAGGGTCACAAACGCAAAAGAGTGACACTGGAAGTGGAAGAGGAGATGACAACTGTTTCGCAACACGACCAGTTCCAGAGCAGATCAATGTGTGAGAATAACTGATTAACAAGGTAAATTCCATTCTTGAATCTCTAAATATATCTGCTTCTAAATATGAAACCGAATTAAACAATCTAAAATTCACTTTTTCATGCATTAGTGATAGTTTACAACAACACGGTTAACCAACTCTAATTTAACCAATCAATTGAGCAGGGTGTCATCAAAAAGCGATGAGAGGCGAATGTGGATTGAGAAGATCGAGTTGGAATTGTCTAAGTCTAGGGATCATTTAATTTACTTGCAATGTGACAATTTAAAGCTTTTAAAACAATGTAATATTTTCAGTTTGATTGCTAAAAGGTTTTACTTTAATATTACTCAGTTGCAACTTGATTGTGGAATTGGTGAGAAAATTCATAAGATGATCTTACCATTTCTTGAATTAAAGGAAGATGAAATAGATGCCGAGTGTTACAATTATGAATCCATAGTTTCGTCAGAAGAAACTTCTGATGCATACATGGTTGGACTAGAACGAATTGAATCATAGATTATATCCAAAGACCACAAAAACATGTTGAAACAAGTTTTGGATGAAAATGATAAGAAGCGAATCAAATCTAATACTGTTCTGAAATTCGACTCATTGAGTGCCAAATTGAGTTCAGAAAATAAAATAAATGTTGAAAGTACCTCTGAATTCGATGAGGATAGTGATATGAGCGGAATTTCAGTGGAGGACGAAGTGGATTACTTAGAGTTCGTTAAAAACGAACCTCAACCAGTGAAAGATTTGATTTCTGAAAATTCAGTTGAATTCGCACGTATTTCTCAAAATAAATCAAAAACATTAAAAGCGAAAGCAATTGTTTTTCCTAAAGTTCAAGTTGTACCCAATCAAGTGTTTGCCATTGGAGGACTAGAAAAAAATCAAATTATCAAACAAACATCCATCATTAATGAAGACAACAACGATGGGTGTGATGAATTCTTTTGGTCTACACCAATTGATAATGCACACGAAACGAAAGGTTTATCTAAAAGAACCTCTTGGAGAGTACAACAATGATATAATAAGCATAAACATCAAAGAAAATTATGAAATATGGAGAAAGTACATACCCATAACCACATCTAGTGTTGTGCAAGCCTCCTCGGCTGACAGCTGGAAAGCTTGACTCGTTACAACTAGCGCATCTGCCTTGCCCTAGCAGCCGTCGATAATCCTTAATGTTGCTGGAGCATGTGTTGCAACCGTTCCTCCAACCAAACTCGGGAAATTGGCTTTCTTGTGGCACCTAGGATTGCAACAGAAGCAAATCAGATCAGAAACCTAGATGGTGGGGCAATCCCTACTAAAGTGACTGGTATTGTCGTACTTATAGCAGACAGACCCACCCATGCTATAAACTCCATCATGCGCCTTATCGCCTTTGCCACAGCTGTTCCGGCCCTACCGGCCTCTTGATCACAAATCAACAACATTGGGCTTCTTACTTAAGCCCTCTGATACATGTTTCTGAACATGCTTCCTCTTGCTCATAGTCTCTAGATCAAGCCTAAGCGATCATATCATCCAATGTCTTGCAGCTAGACATACTCACAAACTCCTAAATCTCATCCTTCACCATATCATGATATTGAGCCTTCTTTATTTCCTCGCATGCCAAATACCGAGGAACCAAAAAAGCCCTCTCACGGAACATGGCGGTGATATCTGCTACGGTCCGGTAGTTTGGTGAAAGTCATGAAACTCCCTCGTCAGCTGTTGAACTGTAATCACGGGCACAAACTCAACCTTGAATCTTGTAGCAAAATCATCCCAATACATCGTCTCAACTTCCTCACCTCCCACAGCATAATCTACCTCCTCCCACCAATCATGAGATCTGTCCTTTAGAAGATATGATACAAATTTGACATTAAACCACTCGAGGCAGAAGCTAGTTTGGAAGGCAAGCTCAATATCCGCCAACCACCATTTCCTAGAAATGGGGTCCTTCATTCCGCAACACTCAAGAGCCTCACTGGCACAAAACTCTCGGAACGTCAGAGAGCGTGAACCCACCATAGCTCCCACCTCAGTACTAAACTAGTCGTTTGAAAATAAGATCAATGAAGCAAAATCAAAATTCACACACAAATGGAATTAACTTCTGGGCAAAGTCATGACCAGAAACAAGAAAAAGAAGTAATAAATGTCTTGGCAGGACTAAATCTTGGAGAAGACACATTAACACTGAAACAAAGAATATACGTATCATATTTATAAAAGGTTGATGGTAATTTGGAAATCTTTCAACAGAAACATCTTTTGGGTTATTGAAAACCTCCTTCCTATTGAAAATTGAAAGAGACTTATGATAATAAGTATTTATTAGATAAATTTAATTCATTCATATCAAATACTAAACTATAGCATTTTTTCTTTGGGTCTAAAGTCTAGATGTCTAGTCCTTTTAAGGAACGTTTGATTTATAATTATATATGTTATCATTGTTGTTTTACTTGCTTGTCATTATAGGAAGCATTAATCATAAAATAGATTATTCCATGCCATTATCAGATTACCAGATGATGTAATTTATTCATTACACGTTAAGGCCTAAGGGCATAGGCGGATATAGGTGGTTCCATGGGTAGCCCGGGATGCCCTTCAAAAAAAAATTTAGTAATGTAATTTTTTTCGAATTTTTTTTTCAGTAGTGTAATTTTTTTCGGAAAGTTTTTGGGGATACCCCTTTACTCCCCTTTACTTTGATATTGGATCCACAACTGCCTAAGGGTCTTTTTTCCGACTTGTCTTGAGCATTTGAATCGTCAGAACGGACCATGTTGGTTTTCTAAAATGGAAATCCACAACTTACTATTACTGGGATCAAGAATGACATATGAATGTTTATGTTCATTCTTCTCTTTTAAAAATGATAAAGAAGATGGCAAGAAATAGACCTAGCTAAGAAACAGTAAGGTTTATGACAGGTTGAGTTTGGCATAGTAGATAAATGATTTTCTTCATCAACTCTTACTATCAGAAAACTAGAAGTGAAGAGCCATTTAAGCAAATAATTACAGGATGTAGTAACAAATTATTCATCTTATTATATATAATCTAAAGTCTTTAGATGCATCAAAACGAACACAAATCTAAAATTACTAAGCAATAGGCTTCAACTTCTTATTTGGAAAATACAATTGTACAATCTCCCGTGATTAAAACTTATTGTCAAACCAGAAGACACCTTTGGCCACTTCATTATCATCTGATTTAACATATACGCATTCTTTTGCTTCTCTGTATAAGGCTTTCAGAATCGGTGTGTCATCAAACCTGTAATAATCTTTCAATATGGGCTTGATTGCTTTCGTGGCTTCCATTGCATGATAATGAGGTATTTTAGGGAACAAATGATGGGTGACGTGGGTATTAGTGATGTTGTGGCCAGTTATGTTCAAGATCCCATAATCTCTATCGACTGTTGATAGAGCTCCCCTCAGCCAATCCCATTCCGTCGAATCATAATGGGGCAACGAAGAGTGCGTGTGATGCAAGAATGTAACACAAATAAGTGAAGTGTTGACAATGAGCAGTGGCACGCCATACGTACAGAACACCCATGTGAGCCCCTTGGTCATTACTAGATTATAGAGGAGGTAAGCGACAATCATGACCCCGACATCAGAAACAATGATCTGAGTGCGTTCACTTTTCGAGTAAATAGGGCTTTTTGGGTAAAAGTGGCATGCAAACCTATCGTAGTTCCTGCCACCATAGTTGAACATTAGGTACAGAGGCCAGCCTAGGGTGTGGATGAACAAGATATAAAGGACTCGACCAGGTGGGTTGTTTAGGCAGATAACTAATGAAGGGAGATTAGATTTTAGTTTAGGGACGAAGACTTCCTCACGTTCAAGTGAAGCGGTGTTGGAATGGTGGCGGCGGTGACTGTGTTTCCAAGAGAAATAAGGGACAAGGAGAGCAGAATGTAGCAGAAACCCAACGGTGTCATCGACCCATTGGTAGTTACTGAAGGCATGGTGGCCACATTCATGTGCTATGACCCAAACACCACCGAGGACAGAGGATTGAAAGAACCAGTAAACAGGCCATGCGAGACAGGAGAGGTTGTGGGGGAGGAGGTGGATGTAACGAGAGGCGAGGTAGTACAAGATGAAGGAAATAGTTAGGTCGTTTAAAAGGTAACTGAAAGAGCGAAGGATTGAGCGATTAAAACAATGAGGTGGGATTGCTTTCTTGAGATCCCGAATTGTGAATGGAGGTTTTTTGTAAGGGGCTCGTTGGAGGGGTTCCCCATCGTAATTTTTGCTTCCTTTTGATGGTTTTGACATTTGCCCACCTGTGACCATGTTCTACAGTGACCTGCATTAAGAAAAATGGTGCATATAATAGTCATGCAATCTGATTTACGTTCCAATTCGTGTATCTACTTCATATATATCATTGCTGATATAAAGTTTCGTACAGTTTTATATGAATTACGAAGATCATTGGAGAAGGGAAGCACCTGACTAAGTCTTCGAGCGGTCTTCCTCTCTTTGTGTAAAAGATTCTCTAAATCTGTGATTAATTTCATTGGAGAAAGCAAGGTATTTATAATAGAGAGAGTTGGGTAGTTAGTGTGGTAAGCGAAGTAGGGCTATTGGATGTCAAGTTTTCCGTAATTACATGCTTGCATGAATGGCTACCATCTAGTTTTAGCGTTTTAACCAGTAGGGTTAGTTGGCGAGTGGATTAGACACGTGGTTTAATTAATTGAGCACTCCAAATAATACCCTTTGGTAGAGTATTCTAGACATTTATAATCTTGGAAATTTTTCTAAAAAGTTCTAAAGTTTTGGTTATTTTACGTTCTCAAATTAATTTTTTTTTTCTTTTTACAAAAAAAGAAAAAAACAAAATATCGACTAAGATAATCATTTTGACCGTTTTAACCTACTAAAGAGATAATTGCTAACATGACATTGCAACTCACAATACGTCAGCTTCTTTTGCATTATTTAAAAAATACATACTGAAATATAAACGTGGTAGTGAGACAAACTCGAAACCTCAAGTTTGAGGGGTCACACCAATAACACTAATTTGATTCTTTACTTGCTGAACACACACTTTTATATAATATATATATATATATATATATATATATATATATATATATTATATATATATATATATATATAATATATATATATATATATATATATATATATATATATATATATATATATATATATATATATATAATATATATATATTCTCACCTTAAAAACATTAAGACCGGAGGGTGTGGGAGGGACTCTTCCCTCACTTTTGGTGGGTTATACCTCTCTTTCCCTCACTTTCCTTTCCTTCATCAAAAAACCAAGGAATGGGTGGGAAGCCTTCCCTCACTTTTTTTTTTTAAAAAAAAAAAATATATATATTTCATACATATATTATGCTCATTTTGTAGGGAATTAAAAACCATGAATTTTGATATATTTTTTATATTTTTATAATAAGTATATAATTTTATAAATATTAAAAAATATAAAAAGAAAAAAAAATAATTGGCCAATGAGAAGAGGAGAGAGAGTGCGGCACCCTCTCCCCCACCGCTTTTCCCGCACTCCATTCCCTCACCCACGGAGTGGTGTTCAAGAGGGGAGGGAAGCTTCCCTCACCCTACTCCGTCCGGCCCAAGAAATGAGAATAGGTAGGCTAAAACTCGGGTTTGTGGCCACCTGGGCTACTTCACTTTTATCTATTTTCTTTTCCTTTAAAAATAGATATAGTCTTTTATTTTCTAAACATTATTATTATTATTATTATTACTATTATTATTATTATTATTATTATTATTATATAATAAAATAAATTTCATGTTCCTTTAGGACCCGTTTGGTGAAGAGAACACAATGTGACATAACAAAACTACAACTTTTAAGAGGGTGTTTAACCTATCTAGAACTGGAACAAAGTAAAAGTTTGACCAAGTCCAATAGGATAATTCACTGAAAAAATAATCTCACCTAAAAAAGTAGAACTCAACAGAACCCGTACTCTTCTTTTCTCAGTCTGACGAAAATAACTCTAGAATTGGTCTCACCTTGCGTTTCTGACTTTCTCATTATCTACCATTGTTATGAAATCATCCTCTTTTTCAATATCATCGTCTTCCTATATCAATTGCACACAAAATTTGATTTTTTCATAATACGAATTACTGATTTTTTTCAATATCATCGTCTTCAATCTCATCTCTGTCTTCCAGGATTTCTCATCTACGCATTTGACTGTATCATCCCAGGCACAAGTTTTTTCGTTAAACTTCATCTCTTTAGTTACCTGATTGACTTCGATTTTTCTTCTATATTTCTTGATTTCTTGATAATCACATTCATCTTGATCTGCTCTTTAGTTATCGATTGATTTCTTGATAATCAGTTAACCGAGCTCTCAAATTATATACATACGACTTCCTGTTTAAGATGTATAGTTTCCTAATTTCTTGACAAATGATTATACAATTTCTCTTTTTTCATTCCCTTATAATTAAATATGAACAGTTTTGATTTAAAAAAAGATTATTTTCCTCTGTTGCTACTCATGTTATCAATCCGAGTAATCTCCATGCAAATGGAATTGTATAATATGTACCAAGGATCACAAGGTAAATTTTAGATGAAAATTCCCCTGAATCTTTTACCTCAATTGAAGACAAGATTGTCATATTCAGACTTGATGAACTCCTACAGAGGATTAATTTCAAATCTCCTGCCAAATTCATATTTTAGTTACTAAGTTTTAGACGGAAATACGCCTAAATATATGTAGTTGTGTCACACCCCAAAACCAAGAACAGCGGAAACGTTCTGGGGCGGAGGACGTCATGTACAGTATCACAACAATTGCAAAGTAGTAAACAAGCAACAACATCATCCATTATATTATAAGTAAAGTTTTAATACATGTGTGTTCTTTCATTGTAGTAAGACACCAAAAATATACAATCAAAATAAAAGACGAGATTTGTCTGTTCCGTCTTCTCAAAACCTGGCCTCCGTACCTCTCTACTGATGACCTGAGAATACAAGTTATTTTGAAAGTGAGTATCAGCTTTAAAGCTGGTGAATTCATAAGTATATAAGTGTCATTGCCTTGTTTGTGAAAAGTGGTTATGAAGGCCTTATGGATCGCTAATTGAAAATGTTGATGTAAGTATGAAAAACCCTAGAAAATCCCTTATTTCCTATCAGTTTGAGATGTAGTCTTCTACCAAGACCCGAATGTTTTGTTTGTAAAATGATAGTTTTCCTTTAATTGTTTTAGTACTAAAGTACTTAGTCTAACTCATCGTTTATGTGAAAGTATCACAAAATAAAGTAAACAGGAAAATGTACTACTGTAAGTGTTGTCACTGGGTACTAGGACTAACACAGCATATGTAACTGTTATCCCGAGGTACTAGGGTCAACACGACCTATATAACCTAATGAACATCCGAAGATTGTCCAATTGTCCTCTGTAGCAGCAGCAGGGGGGGAGGAAGGGTTAGTCCCTGTAAAGGTACTCCTAGTATAAGTAATAACCGTAGGCATCCGTAGATGTTCATTACCCACTGTTGCTAACAGATGGGTTCCGGAATGGTTAGTCCCGTCCATATATCCCGAGGTACTGGGGATAGAGTCCTATTCTAGATATCCCGAGGTACTGGGGATATGCAGGATAATTTACACAGAAGGTACTAATAAATTATCCTCGCAATTCATGATACAAATATTCAAATAAGTATACATAGGTAAAGGTATCAACGTAAAGGTACTCAGGTAATGTGTTCATGTATCATGTAAACATATGTAAAGGTACTCATGTATCAGGTAAGGTACTAGTAAAGACTCATGAATGAACTGACTCTTGTATGATTCCTTGTAATAGGTATAATGTTTTGTTATCTTCCAATTATCCCTATGATAATTTACTGTAATCTAAATAGTTGATCATGTAGGTTTACACACTCTTACTACTCAAGGGTGTAGGAAACTAAATGAAAGATGCAAACTATAACATCAATACATATATAATAATATAAGTGTATATGCATAGTTTAGTTCAAGAATGTAAAATGGTTTTGTAAGACATCTTATGTGTTTTGAACAATGATTAACAATAACCTGAGGTCATTTTAATATACATTTCAAAGGTAAAACTTTTGATAACAATGTGTTTTTAAGATTTAAAACCATTTTATGCATCACATTTTGTAGTATGTGAAATCTGTTAAATGACAAACAAAGTTATAAAATACATATCAATAATTTAATAACCTGTTTGTTTCTACTTGTATCCCCCCCCCCCTTTAAAGCATTTAAAATCATTTAAAACATTGATTAGGGGTATGAACTTACTTGAAGGTTTGAAGATAGCGAGATGGAAAACCGGGCAGAGTTTCGTCTCAGGAAACGGATTTTTCTCGGGATCCTCGGGAATCTCGGTAGTAAAATCGACCTTCGGAACTTGAGTAAAATTATCAGGGCTTCGGGGTAGTGCGAGCACGGAAAACGAGGAAAAACGCAAGAAAAGTGAGAGAGAATGAGCCATTTTTCCGGGAACCCTCGCATCCTATTTATAGGAGGCTGGAACCGCCTCCGTACGCGGGGCGTACGCGTACGTCACGCATGACTGAGTCCTCGACTGCCTCACACTTCGGATGGGACAGGGGGGGTAGGCTCGCATAGGGGCGACGTGGACGATCCGAGGCCGTGGCCTCGAGTACGCTGGGCGTACTCGTGTACGCGGGGCGTACGTGCGTGACTCAGACTTCGGATAATACCGAAGTTTTCAATAAAAATTATATATAAATTATTTATCAAACTTCAAAAATTCATATCTCCTTCATACGAACTCCGTTTTTGACGTTCTTTATATCCCCGCGAAGGTGAGACTACGATCTACAACTTTCGTTTAGATTCCGTCGGCAAATTCCGAATTTATTTTTATTATTTATTTATTAAAATGACGTGATTAAGGAATTTCTTTAAAAATTCATAACTTCTTTATCTGACGTCGGTTTTTGCCAGACTTTTTACCGTTGAACAACCATCGTCGAGACCTTCGATTCTCGTTTAGGTCATTCCGGCCAAAAGTCGCTCGATCTCTGCTTTGAGTTTTCAGTTGACTGTTGCTAAACCGAATTTGGAAAAATCTTAACTTCAATATACGAAGTCGGGTTTGGGCATTCTTTTTACGCACGATTCCGGTTTAATGATATAAAACATAGTAGGTAGTTAAATAGAAACTTTTTGGACATTTTATTACCAACGTTTATTTTGATTAACTCAAAAAATGGTTACAATACTTGACCTATTAGGCCATTACAAAGAGTTGAAATATCAGGTTGTCACAAGTTGCCACTGAGTTTTCGGTACCCGTTAGTTGACTCTAGCAACCTGAACAAGATTTTGTAGCTTTCTGATCCTCCTTCCTTCCTAAATTTTTAGATACTAAATTTTAGACGAAAATGCTCCTGTATCTTTGTAGTTGCCACTGAGTTTTTAGTACCTATTACTTGACAAGATTTTGTAGCTTTCTTGT